CTCATAATTTGATCAACTTATTTGATATTTCTTCTTCAAATGATCAGCATAAATGAGCACGTATAGATATTGTTTAGCTCTTTTTTTCTGGCAAAATTTACTTTCTCAGTTTTTCCATCAACTAAGTATTTTATCATTTTGATTAAAACTATTTAATGTTTCGACTAACTGGATTTCTCAAATCCTCAAGGATATGTTGAATAAGATAATTGTAGTTGATATGGAAGGATAGGACGTGTTTCAAAGACCCCAAATAGTTTTGTGATTAACATGATGAAGAAGGATAAAAAAATTACTATTAGGCGCACTCAAATAATTTTCTTTTTAATAAGTGATCTAAACCCTAGATAAAAAGGGTTGCATGATAAATTTTAAAAGAAGGCTTCACGTTCTGGTTTTTCGATTTTTTCTGATTCCATAGGATAAAGGAAAAATTTATTCTGAAAAACAACCCTTTTTATTTTGTAATTGATGTCTTTCTATTTTAATAGATTTGAAAAGAAAAAATATATTATATTGTAATGATTGAATTATTTATAAATAATAATTTTATTGTAACCAGACCCAATGGAATTTAACCTTCATAGATTGTTTAGACATCTAACAACCCCATAATTAAAGTCAGTGGTATAGCCAGAATTTATCCATAGAGGTGTAGGGGGGTCGGGTTTAAATTTTTTGGGGACTTCATCCCCAAGCTCCCTTTCCCCCCTTCGGTCGGGTCCCTAAAAAACATTATAAAATATTAATTTTTCAGTGGTTATCTTTATATTATTTTTGTTGAAGTTGGCTAAACAATTGGAAATACTAATTCTAAAATTTGCCAATATTTTATGCTTTATTAGTGTTTAACCATTTAAGCCAGCATAAATGAAAAAATATTAACAAAATTTTGGCTAAATTTATGATTAATAGGCGACTGAAAAGCATTATTCTGAAAATTTTATAAATGTTTAGTGTTCAAATGTAAATTAATTCAATCCATTCTGAGTAGAAAAAAAATCGCCCCCCTCCCCAAACCTGCCAATATTTATGATCACAAAATATATCTTATTCTAGGTTAAAAGTAATTATTTTAAATAAATTTTTGCATATAACAAAATTTGACAGAGAATTTCATTATTATTGTTAAAAAACCCGATTTGGATCGATTTTTCAAAACGGCCCCGATTAAGATTTAAGTTAAAATAATATTATGTAAGCATCGAGATTTGGTAAATAGATGTCCAAGCATTTCTGCCAGCTATGAGAAAAATCTTTAGTCTTACATAATTGTTATTTTGTTTATAATCTTAATCGGGTCGTTTTTTTAAAATCGACTCGAATTGGGGTTTTTAACAACACTACATCATAGATTTTATTTATTATTAAAATACATTAGTATAAATAACCTCCCTTTATTTAATTATGTATTTATTTTAATGATAATATACAATAAAATAAATTTCAAAATGTATGAATTTTATACATATTATTATATTTAAAATTTATTGTAAATAACTGTGTTTTAAAATAATTAAAAATTTTATGACTAAGAACATATTAAAATCATATTGCAATTTTATGATTTGAATTTATAAAGAGAGATCTAATTTAATCAAATTTTTATCTAAAATCCTTATCAATATTTAATAGGGCTAAAAGGGTTTTCACCGGTGCTATTTCATAGGTTTTTAACCTTTTCAAAGTTGAAAAAAGACCTTCATTAGTGCATGCAGGTACTAATAGGGAAGGTAACTAAAATAAAAAAAAAACAATTGTTTGATATTAGGCAGGGAATCTAAAGTGCAATTATACATGGAAAAGGCCTACAAAGCATTTTTTGGTCTCAAAGAGTACTCTATTCTGTCAAGATTTTTATACCAAAATTTGACATCACAAAAACATACGATCCTGATAACTCAAGAGTTAAACTCTGAGATTTTCTTAATATCCTCTCGCGTTTCAAGTGTAATCAACAATTCAGACTCAGCCGGTAAAAGAAAATAAAAGCTTGCTGTTTATCTTTACCAAATTAAACGATTTAAAATTAATTAAAATTTTTAAAACTATCTAATTTGTTTCCCCCCCCCCCCTTGTCATTTAATATTTTAGTTCATATAATTTTTAACTTAAACCATTTTGTTTTTTTAAATATGTTTCATTTTGATATCGTACATATTATTTTATTTCCGTTTTATAAATAAAATTATTCGCAATGAAAATAATATTTCTGAGGTTATGGGGAAGGGGGGGGGGGTGAATTTTTATTTATATGATATATCATAATATGATTTGTTGTAAAATATTTTCATATATTTGTAACACTTTCTTATAAAGTTGCCTAACTTGCTGTAATTCTTGTTCTTTTTAAATAGTTATCAAAGTCTTATTTTTACAATATATGAAAATTTTTAAAAGCAATCATATTATTACATGCCCTCTTGTCCATATTAAATATTGACTTTTATATAATTTTTATAATAACGAAAGCTATTTTGTTTTAAAATTCTAACTTTTTATACATATTATTTGTTATCCTTTTATACAAACAATTTTTTAAAAAATTCTTGATTTTTGAGATAGCGGTGACTTTTACATATAATAATTTTTTTGTGTATTGTTTAAAATATATAATTCATTTTTTGTTTGTTTATGAATTATTTATGGTATAAAACTAAGGGAATTTGATTGAATATGTTTATATTTTATATATTTTCAAAATGGCATATTATTTAAAAAGCCAATTCAAAAAAATCGAATATTCTATGTTTCTAGTAATTCGTCGAATTGAATAGCGACTACAGTAACAAATACGATTAGTAAATGTTCGAATACGTATAAAACGAAAAATTTTAATATTAAATAATTCGCTTATTCTATAAATTATTCTAATAATTTATTTTATTCAAATCGAATTGTTCGAATAATTAGATCGAATATTCGGAAAAACATATTGATGACTATCATTCTGGCAGAAGATGTGATTCACAGTCAACTGCGCATGAAAGGTTTCTCTAAGTTAGAACTAATTTTCTGCCAAACAGTCGCATATCTTATAAAGAAGAAACAATAAGAAAAACTCTTTGCTTTCAAAATTGATTTGGCATTATAAATTAAATTAATATACATTTTAATTATGTTAAAAAATTGATTTCATGTTCTTTATCATTAGATTACTATTTTATAATATTTAAAATAAACGAATTATTAGAATCGAATACAAATAGTAAATTTTATTATTCGTACCATTATTCGATATATTTGAATAGACCTATTATTTATAAATAATTTTGGCAGCTATTTAAATATATCGGATCCATAAGGGTCAATTTAAAAATTACAAAATTTTTAAAGAAAGAAGTTGATTTAATTTGAAAACAAGAATTGGTGGTGATGATAATTCTTTTTAAAATTATCGCCTCTGTCTAAAAAAATTTTTTTTTTAAATTAAACTATTAATTTTTTCAAGTCACATGGTTCTATCTTAACCTCTATCGAAACCCATTTTTTTATGGTTATTATTTTATTCAAAATATTTTCCAGGATTCAGACTGAATTTTGCGGTGCCAAGAATGATATAAAAAATTTTTTAAATATAAAAAACAAAACTATGGGAAAAGATTTCTCTTTTCTGCCAAGAAATGCAAGAAATGATCTAGCGATTTAATTTTTTAATATTCCTTTGTGGTAAAAAAAAATAGCGATACCATACTAAGATAGAAGAAGATTTACATAATATTTATTAATTTTTTTATATTAATTATAACATTTGAATAAATAAATCCCACAGAGTTTCCCATCTTGTTGGTGCCTTAATTTTGTTTTGCCTATATCATTTCATAAAAACCTCATATTTTGATAACTTAATATAATAAACTTAAAAAGAAAATAAAGCCCTTTAAAAACCATCTTATCTTCTTATTCTTATTTTCATATAATATTAAAATTAGATTAACTAACACATCCACGCGATAAATTATTTTAAAATAATTCTTTCTTCTTTATCTGCGTGTGTTTTGTGTTATTAAATTATGCTTAGAAAAAATACGTATATTGTATAAGAAATTCTCCTAAATGAAATAAAAAGAAAAAATGAAAAACGTTTTTAAAAAATAAAATGAAAGCGATTCTTATAAATAAAGAGTATGAAATCTTTATATGCATGATAAATATAAGTGCTTTTTAATTAGCGATATTTAGATTATATAAATAGAAAAATAAGAAAGAAAAGAATATGTGAATTTAAATTTACACAGAGGTATTAAAAAAGAAGTGATATATTAATTACTTTAAAAATCAAATTTTAATGTATTATTTTTTTTCTCTCTAATAGTCGTTATAATGCGTTATCAAAAGCTTCATTTTTTTTAAATTAATTTTTTTCTCTTTGAAAAAAAAATTAAACCGCACATCATAAGTCCTTTTCCGTTTTTTTTATTTTGCCAAAAGATTAAATTATTTTTAAAAACAATGACAGAATTTAATTAAATTTATAAAGATTCCGTTTATAAATAATATCAATGATATTTATAAATTTTGTATCTTCCTCCTACTCTGTTTTTAATGTTTTTTTCAAGTTTTTAGTTTAATCATTTTTTTAAAGTAAAAATAATTTATTAATTCCAATCCAAATAATATTTTTTTTCTTAGAATAATAAAATAGGGGAATAGTGACACCTAATAATTAAGATTTGACTTTTCTACCAAAATTCCTATTCTCATAATGTTAAAAATATCAGAGTGAAAGTTTTTTTCTCATTATAACGAATTTTAGTTGTTTTTTTAGAAAATTTATGAAATTAGAAAACACCTCTATATGAATAGAATAAAATATCCAATCTATGGGATAGATTTTGCATTGAACTAACTATGGCTAAGGAAGCTTGTTCCCGCCGAGTTCAGTATAACGAGATACTGTATATATTTATTATATATATAATGCATATTCTCTTAACTATTCCATTTTTATGCACATATTTTAATCCAAATTTTCTAACTTTTCATGAAAAATTAAATAGATTGCCCTACCAATACCTACAAACACTCTCACGGAAATTACCCGTGTACACCTTGTCCCGGTAATAGTAATAGTCCTAGACCGGGTTCCGTTAATTGCCTATGCGAAAAGGGGTTTTTCAGACCCGAATCCATATTTTACGCTGACACGAACTGCCAAAAGCCACCCCCAAAGGCAAAAGACTTTATAGCCGACTCAGTGGAGCCTTTTAAAGTAACTTTGACCTGGAAAACTGATTTGGAATTTGATGATTTGGATATTGGAGAAACATATATTGAGGGTAAGAAGAATAATATAGCTAAAACACAGAAGGGAATGGATAACGTCGGACGTATACCGGTTACTTATAGGGTTGCCTGTGATATATGCGATTACAATGTGGGGTGAGTCAAAAAGTTTTTAATATAATGTCATGGTTGATTCTTGCTATTTATGTTATATATTTTTCTCTTACTAGTAAAATCAGATCAAAGTAATTCAACCATTCTTTTTTATGATCTTACAAAATATAATATAAATGTAGGGAAACCATAACTTAATGAAATTGATATTCATTTTTTTAATCGCCTAACAACTAGATATCTACCAAGACAGAATGATTTAAACGAAAGCAGGGTGGAAGTGATCAATTTAATACCTGGAATCATTTATAATTTCGTGGTTTATAGCGAAAATATTATATCCAAACTGGCCGGTTACTCTAACTATGCCTCATTAGCTATAACCACAAAAAATTACAGTAATCAATATGTATAAATTTTAAATAAATCATATAGTGCATAGGCATACTGCTTACATATTGAAGCGTTTGCGTTTTGTCACAAATTTCGAAATGCATTTCAAATAATGGTATCATACACTTAAAAAACATTAAATAGTTTTATTTATTTATTAAATATTTTTTTAAAAATACCACTTTAATCAACTATTCTTTTGGGAAAAACATAGACTCTTCTGCTCAATTTGTAAGCACCTATCTTCCTTATCAAATCGAATAATATAGTGCCCAGAAAATTTTGAGTTTATTGGATGAAAAATAATATAAGAGGAGGATGAATGGAACATTATCTCTTTGCTTGGTTTGCTAGGGTTGGCAAAAATTAATTTTTTTGATTAAATCATGATTTTTAAATTTAAATCAAGTTTTATTATCAAACAAAAATATTTTCTATTATTAAACTTTAAAGCCTTTTTTGTAACCCATTTGGGTTTTAATATTAGGCACAATTCTTGATTGGATATTTGTTGAAAATTTAATGAAATGACATAATGATATATTTTATTATTTTTAATATTTCAAAAAGGTATTGTATTTCTTTTATCGCCTTAATAATTAGATTTTTCTAGATGCAGTTATAATAATATTCTTCACTTTTATATCTGCTATTATTCGATATTGATACTATATTATAATTGTATTTAACCAACGACTTCTCTAGCTCTTGTCTTTTATGGTGGCCGGCTAAAATGTCAATTTTCTCAGAATTTTTTTGCTCAAATAGAAAATATTTTAGGTTTGTCCTCTTTAAATTAAAATCTCAGCACGGTGAGCACTCTTTTGTGCACCCACCTATCGAGGCCATTTTGTATGCAATATTAATCGTACTATCTAAACAAAATTAAAAGTTTCAGACGAAGTAAAAGACATCCAATTGATTCATGCCACTAGCCGTTCAATACTTGTAAAATGGAATCATTTTGCGTATGACAATGAGAATCAGAAATTAAACGATGGTAACTTGACCCGTTCATACTATTACGAACTGATATGTTCGCCTGTAACCGATACAAGTGCTCTAAATAAATCCCGGACAGTGAGAACGGAAACCGGATATAGGAATATAACGATCAGTGATTTAAAACCTAGCACGGAATACAACCTTAAAGTATGTTCTGAAATGATCGTATTGGCTGAAAATAGGACTAACATGTGGAAATTAAAAGAATAAGGATTGAGGAAACGATTAAAAGCAAGAAAAAATATTTGCTTTTAACATTATTGCAAAGCTCTTCAAATTTAAAAAAATATTCAAATAAAATAGTTTGAATATGAATTTGAAAAACAATCTTGATAACCATCATTTATTTTTTATCCATAAATTAATTAAATATATTATTCAAAAATCAGGTCAGAGTTAAAGCAATCGATAGTATGGGAAAATTCTGTGAACCATTTTATTTCAAAACGGAACCAGGCAACCTAAATGAAGGTTTTTTTTTATTTATAATTGTTATAGTATAATATAATTTAATCTATGCTGAATATATTTATATTAGTAGGAGTAATATAGCTAGGATGGGTCTTTCCGTTCAAATATTATATGGGGAAGGACATATTAGTATGTTGAGTCCACCCTTCAGTCTCGGAGATACTCACCAGACGTATGGGAATATATTCCTTTAGTATATCTAATTATTTGTTTCAATATCATAAAAATCTTACAAAATATTAAAAAAGACTCAACTGATCAAGTAGGCAACTTGGTTCTTCAAAATTCCCTTCTATCTTCCTTCAAAACGTCTCCCCTTCTTAATGATAATAACCAAAATCTGAAATTGAACACCTTTAACGACAAAAACTCGAATGACCAGATGAGCGGAATGGACTACGAGAATAACCTTAACAATAATTTGAATAGCCAAGAGTTTATGAATCTTCACAAGCAACAAATGGGCCTTATCATAGGGGGCATAATGATATTGTTATTGACTTTTGTGTGCATTGTAGCCTTCACCACCTTTTTCCTCAAAAGGTTTATTTTATAAAATGAAAAATTTATGGTTTATTTTTGAGTATAAAAACTTTAGAAGTTCCGGTTCCTAAATTTTTTGCGGTTTCAGATTCTGGTTTTAAATATGTTAAAGCAAATCCAAAATTTAAACAATGAATAAACCCTCTAGGATTGAACTTAAATAATTTTATAATTGTAAATTACTTGCCAATTTTGTTCAAACTGCTGAAAATTTAAAAATGGTATCTGACTTCTATAAATATAAAAAGAGGACTCTATTTTCTAGATATATCTTGGTTCTGATTCCAACCTTTTCTTAGAATACATATATTAATTCAATAGTTAACATGAGTAAAATATCTAAATATAATATTGGTTGGTTAAATATGGTTGAGGATGACCATAAAACTAAACGCAGAAAATACATGTATAGACTACTTATAGACAAAATAAAGCGAGACCACCCAGTGCCCTTTATTCTCCTAGCGGCCAATGATTTTTACACCCCCTTCTCCCCTCATAAAAAATGAATAAAAATTATTTTAAACAGTAGGGTTTCTTAGTCTAGTTTCGACCAATCTTATCTTACTCATCACCCTTTAGTTTGTACATCGATAAAATGGTTAAAAGTATTTATATGAAATGATTAAACAGAAAGCCAGATAAATTCTACAGTTTTCAATATAGTTTTAAAATAATATTTAAATTTCTAAGTTAGCTAATCTTCATTTAAAACAACGTTCACCATTAAATATTTTAAATAAATTGAGTAAAATTTTATACTTTGAGGGACTATCTGAGGCTTTTTTCAAAAAATGCCATGGGTTTAATCACATCGCTGGGTTTCAAGGGTTAAGTCTCTTCTATATCTTCCTACTTGTATACTGATATCTTCAAGTTTTAAGCATGAATACCTTTGTTTAATGTGTTTAGTGATAAATTAATATAATTATTCATGTTTTTGGGAACTTGTAGTCCCAACCTCCATTTTTATATGATTTTTATAATATTTATTATATTATAGTTTGATTGGAATATGTTCATGTATATTATTATTATAAAAAAATTTTAGCATAAAAAGAAATTTTTTTAAAAAAAATATATAATTGTGTAATTGTATATATAATTGTGTAATTGTATATAAAAATTCAAAATAATTTTTAAAAATTAGGGATGGGGGGGGGGAGGTATATAAATTTTTATTCTAAAGGGGGGGGGGTATATCTTAAATTATCACAATGCTATTAATACATTCCGATCCCAATACGATTCAGATGAAAATACTGTATCACACCCCCGCCGTGATAGAGGGCACTGAGAACGGCCTCACATCTTTTTACAAAATAATAAAACTAAAGGTTTAGATAAGAATACCATTTTATTATATTTATTAGTAATAAACACATAATTTTAAATATAATTTATTCATTACTAGTTGGCGCGATTTTCACTTTTTATTATTAAATTGCATAAATATAAATTATCAATAAAAACATTCACAGAACTGCAGTAATAGATAAATATGCGTTCAGTTTAAATTTTTAAATGATAATCATTAAAAATCCATACTCAAAAATATCAAAATAACATAAATAATATATAAAATTACTAAAAAATATCAATCAAAGATGGGAGTCCTTTTTGTCGTAATATTTCTAACTAAATCAAGCACGAATGAACAGTCTATGCTGATAATAAGTTTATGATAATAATGTAACCGAAAAGTAAATAATGTTCAAATATAAATTTATCTCCTAAATTTAAAAAAAACATTCATTAAGGAAAGAACAAAGTTGCAAAGGTAAAACATCAAGCGATTGTGATTCTTTGGAAGTTAGAACTGGACCTGAAGGTATAAAAATAAAATATTATATAATCACATTTTGGAGTGAATGTGATTAAGTGTTTGCTAATAATGTTTGTCAAATGATCCAAAATTTAATAAAATGTTAAAATCGGGGGAAATATTATTAAATTATAAAATTTAGAGGGCCCGAAAATTAAAAATGGGAAAAAGTCAAATAAGCGGGCTATATAGGTTTGCAATTAAAATATTTTTTATATTCATCAGAAATGGAAATTATGTAAGCATTTTTTCCCTTTAAAAATACCTGGAATATTTAATAAATTTTTTAAAGTAATATATAAACATAAAATTTATATAATTGTATCGATCAAAAAAATCCCCTTTTATATAATGAGGGGGACATAATATAAGTTATTTAAAAAGAGTTTTCTATTATGTGATGTTGACAATTATTTTATACGGGCACAAATATATTTGTTATTATCATAAATACCTCATCAGACTTGGCCATAAATCAAAGTGATCATAAAACATTTTTTATCTTAAAAAGATAGAAGAAAATATATATGTAGAGTCTATTTATCTATCAATCGTCACTCACCTCTAAAATAAAATATTATGTATATAATATACACAAAAGAATTTAGCCTGAATAAAACGTTAAACTATGAAATTAATAATACCCCCCAAAATCCGAAAAATATTGAAGAAGGCAACATTGGGAAGATTAAAATTTCGGTCAACGATAACGAAAAAATAGATAAAAATGACATTAAAAGTGAGGAAAACGCCCGCAAAAGATTAAAGTATAAAAAGACCTGGAAAAAAAGTTATTTTAGTTACAAAAAAGAACAACAAAAATGTGCAATATAAAAGGCTTTAGCTTTTTTAAATTTATTTATTTGCTAAAATTAATATTTAAAAATGAAGGCCCCTACAGCTAATTTACCCAAAATGATAAATTTGTTAATATAACCCAAATATTTTGATATCCATAAATAAGGATATATGATTTGATTTATAATGTGTGTAAAACATTAATATTATAATATAATGCTTTCAATTTAGATATGTTAAAAAAATGCTAATATAGTTGCAGCTTATGCCTTCTAACATTTTTACGCTATTTTATGTTATATTATTATACTAACCTTTTTTTTAAATAAAAAATTATTAGCTACTCACCTTTTTTAAAAAAATTAAAAGTACTTTATTATAATGTTTGTAAAAAGAGAATTATATCTGAAAGGTTTACATAATTAGGCATAACTCTTTAACAGTAAGCAGATTTTTTCAATTGAAATTATTATTTATAAAATGGAATATTGTTTTAAATATTTTGAGGCTTCTACATTGTACAAAACGGTAATAAAACGTTATAAAATAGTGTTTTTAGCCATTTAAAAATATTTTTAGGCCCAGATTTTTTTAAATAAAATAACCCTGATTCTTATGATATATTCGATGCATATAAACATGAAATTATAAACAACAAAAAAAACTCAGTGATGACCCCGCTCTTTCCTCCTTCTTTCTTTAAACCAGGCTTCGGCACCACCAAAATGTTAGACACTCGATCGTACGCTTCGAATATGATAAATCAAGCTTTAAATAACTCTTCGCAATTACAATCCAGGAACAACGCTTATATACCCGGGGTCATTTATAACACGAACGCTACTTTAATAAGTATGAATTACTAAAATAAATATAGTAAAAGCACTTTAAATCACAATTTTTTTTAGTTATGCAAAGGAAAATTTAATAAAAAAAAAATTTTTAATAACAAAAGTCAGTAAGAAATTAATATTCCAGCTTTCACGTGTGTTACCATATTTTTAAGATTTATTATTTTTTTCACCATTTGGTTCTTCTCAATTTTGAATGCTTCAAGAGTTATTTATCCTAATAGCCAAAATCGTAAAATCCAATTTTTTTTTGTTATTTTATAAATCTTTTAAATAGAATAACTTGTATAATATGAGTTAAAATGCCAACAAGGCTTAGTAGACTAGTTCTATGTATACATATATATATGTGTAATATTGAATATTTGTAAAAATTATTTATTAGATGAAAAGGGATTGGAAAAATACGGCCTATTCTACGGACAACTGAATTGTTCTAATGTTCTAAACCCCATTATACCAACATTAACCACAGATTCTAATTTCGATAATAACCAAAAAAATTTCACCATTTTATCCAACAATAATATCAATTCTCTCAATAGATCTAACCATAACAAAAAACGGTTATTCAATAATTTAGTAGCGTCCACAAATACCCTAACCTTTTTGAGACAGAATAACGAAAATTTACAGAAACATAATATGTTGATGCAACAACAGCAACAAAGATTTAGACCGGTGTCCGGATTTTTGATAGGTTATTAATTATGTGATTATTATGAATTGATCAAGTTAAAGAAAATATAAAAATTTTGTAAAGACATCACTATCAGAACATTAGGTGTTATAAATTTTTAATAAAAGATTGTTAGTTATTGTGCATATTTCACTAATTTTTATATACAATTATCAGTGGTATCGGCAAAAAAGTGGTATTAATATATATCTGATAATATTAAAATAATAATATTGAAAAGAGTTGCTTCGCGAGCACCTAATATTTAATAAATTTCTCAAATGTGCACGCTTTTGCTTCTACTTAGCGACGCTATGCCACTGTTTGAGATGCCATTTTAAATAAAAATTGGTGGTGTAGAAAACGGTATCCTAATAAACATATGCACATGAGAATAATGTTGATTTTAAAATCGGACTGTTTAAATCAGGTGGGAATAAAAAAAATATTCAGTTAAAAGTAACGTTAAAGAATATAGGCTAGCCCGTAGCCAGAATTATTTTGACTAAGGAAGGAGAAATCTAATTAATCGTTTCACAATTCCCATTCATTAGGCTAAATGGAAAAAAACTATTTTACATCAGAATTAACTAACGCAAAAGGACATTGTTGGAAAAGATTAAAGTGCTTATTTTTCTTTCATGTAAACCATATTATATTTTTTATAATAAAGGCGAGGGCGACTTAGCCAATCTTCACACCTATGAAGAACCTCATACGTTGAATCACAAAATCGATTCTTACGATGAAGCTGCCAAAAACGCTTTAGACTATAGTAAACAAAAAATTACGAATGAAGGAGGCAATCATTATTTTGCGAACCCACAACCGACAGAAAATGATGATCCTTTTTTGATTGAGGAAATGAAAAATATGCCCATCATCGATCAGAACTCTATACTTGTCGACAGTCAAGTATTAATCGGGCGCGGAGGATTTACAAATGTTTACAGAGCTATCATGTGCTTCAAAAACGATGCTTCTACTAATTCAAGTTTTTATAAAAAAATACTATATTCCATTTATATTCAAAATCGATTATGATTTTATTTTTCTTTAAATTCCCTTTTGCCACAATTTCCAGAAATATTAAAATAATTAAAAATTTGATTTGCACATCTTTTTTAAATTGGAAATATTTTTTTCGTTTCTCCAGCCAAAATAAAAAAAATAAAGGTTGATAAATAAAATAAAAAATTAGCTTGTCATATTTAAATCTAAAAAAATTTCTCTTCATCTTATAAAATTTATAACAGCTAAATCTCGAACCAAAAAGAGCCCATCGTCTAAAAAGAGGAAAAAAATCGAAGGGTCATCCCTAGTCCTAGAAGATTCGAAAATTTGCGAACCTCCCAATGAAAAATACCCACAAAATTCTTCCATTCCATGCAAACGAACCCATCAGGAAGCTCCTAATGAATCGTTAGTTACCGTAGCAATTAAAAAACTCGAAAACCCAGCAGATAGAATAAAATTTCTTAGAACCGCTACCATGTTGGCTAGATTGAGGAGGCAAAATGGGAAGGATAATATTAATATTGTTAAATTTTTTGGAATCATGAATCCCGATGCACTTGACCCCTGCATTTTAATGGAATTTGTCGAGAACGGAACTCTAGAGACTTTTTTAAAGGTTGGATCGATTAAAGAATTTTTTTATAATATCGAAAGTAGTAAAAAATTGACATTTAGAATTCTTAAACTCATGAAGTTTAAATATTAAAAGAATGCTTATCTTAATTTTTGTTATTTTAATTTAAAAAATAATAGTATTACACATCATATAATGATAACTAATTCTAAGAATTCATTTCTTATTCATTTTCTTCATCCCTACACAGTTATGAGGGATTTTCGGTTTAAGGTTGAGTGATTTCATTCCCAGTGATCCCATCATTTATGATTTTTGGTTCTCATTTTTTTGAAATTTCTGGTTTTATAAAGGTGACAATCTCTGGATCTCCCAGAACGGTTTTTCAAGCCTTTTTTGGCCACTTTCTAGGTTAAGTTCCGTCTGCTTCTCTCAGAAACCTGTAGGCCCTGAACATACCAAAAATGATATGTAAATCCAGGTCAGGCATAAAAATTTTAAAAATTAAAACGAGGGATTTTTTAAAAAAATTAATATAAATTAAACCAATTAATCGGTTGGAAAATCATAAAATGAAGTGTTTAATATTTATTTGTGGCTTATATTATTCCCCATCGAAAGAATTTGCCAAATAGAGTCAAAATAACGAAATTTTAAAAATTCTACACGGGTTTGAAAATGTTTTTATTTCCAAATCCTGGTTGGGTCTAAAATTTTGACCTCTGTAGACTTCTCTTCTATCGTGCAAATATTAATCATCAATTTTAATTTAACATGATCAGACATCAGTTATTTCTCCTTAAAATCGAAATTTTCCTTCATATTAATTTTCTTTCTTATACAATCTTTAAGATAATCATTACTAGCTATTTTTTAATAATAATTAACAAGACCAATATTGAATACAAAAAAATACACTGATTTTAGGCTAAAGAATATCAATTAACCCGCCCACAACTCTTATCTATGTGTAAGGACGTTTGTAACGGGATGAAATATCTGTACAAGACTCTTACATATGCAAACTACGATAGCAACAACCAGAAAGAATGTTTCGTTCACAGGAGACTCAGAGCTGCTGCTATTTTAGTTGACAAGGCTTTGAATTGCAAAATATCGGGCCTTTGCGCCAATATTACACATAAGAGCGAACAGAAAATGGATTATGAAATGAAAGGAGATTTCGAAGGGATATATAATACAAATGTTTGACTTTTGATTATTTAATTAAATACATATATATAGATATATACATCTAAAATTTGTTCACAAAAATAGGTTGTCTAAAGTTGCTTATTTATTTTAACAATTAATACCATTAAAAAAAAATGCTATTGAATTAATTCACCCAGTTAACTATCAAAATGACCCATGATTTTTTAAATATTAATTTACATCATTTTTAATTGTTAAAGATTAAAAAATAGCATTAATTAATTGACTTGTGTTGTGATAGCTACTTACATTGCATAAATCGATATTTTGTTTTAAATATGAAAGGGTATTTAACCAGTGAAATTTTTATATATCATATTTATAACTCATTTATTTTACGCAGTTTGGTAAAATCCCTATAAGATGGACGGCACCCGAAACTTTGAACTCCTCCAACATCGAAATTCTAAATAACAATGAGCTATTTAATGAAACGACCGATATTTGGAGCTTCGGTGTTTTGTGTTGGGAAATTTTTTCTTTAGGTGATAAACCCTATTGGAGCAATTGGTCTAATAGGGATGTGATAAAGGCTCTAACAGAAAAACTATATAGGCTGCCACCCCCTATGGTATTATTTTATTTTAATTTTTTTCAAATAAAAGTGTTCAAAAATTTTGGAAATGCATAAATTTTGATAAAGGGGCTTCTAAAAGATCAATTATATTTTAAAATAAAAAAGAGAGTCAATATTATTTTTAGGTACTATACAATGGAGTTTATACGGGAATAAGAATATTATAATTTCTTTAATATATGATAATTTTTTAAAAATTGTTTGTTTAAAAAAAATATTATTTGAAGTATTGCCCAGAAATAGTTCACGAAATAATGTTATACTGTTGGCACAACGACCCCTCGAAGAGACCTACTTTCAAACAATTATTATCTATTTTCCGAAATCTTGAATTAGATGAGGGTCAGAGCCATATATTGGATGTACCAGCTTTTATAAAGTTTATATTTTAATAATGATTACATTAAAAAAATGCAATACTTTAAGTTTTTACATATTAATATGTTTAGATTAGATTCGACCGAGCTATAAATAACTATTATTTCAATGCATTAAAAAGATTTATTAATTTAAGCCAGATATTCAGTTTTAACCTTATAATTTTGTTTTATAATAAATATTCTTTTATAAGACTTAATAATCTTGATCCTTTCGGTAAACAAGCCTTTTCATCCATCGAGGACTGGTTAAACAGTATCAAGTTAGGTAGGTATTCGCAACATTTTGAATCCCTCAACCTTCATTCAATTGAGCAACTCCTCAATTTCACCTCAAAATCGCACTCGGCTAATCTGGGAAATCAACAAATATATCTAGAAAATTTTCAAAACATTTACGACACTAATAACATACCCAACTCGCTGGGTTCATTGTTGGACGCATTGAATATAACCAATCAAACGCATAGAAACAAAATATATATCAGTTTAGAGACGTTGAGATACCCTTACCCACCCCCAAATAGCATAAATTCCTTATTATCTTACGATTCCAATCTCACGCTATTACTAGACAATGTCTTATTAATTAATAATCAAAATTCAATCAATTTATCTTCTAGCGGTAACAGTGATCATCCGAATTCCCTAAAGACCGATAAAATCAAATCTAATATACTTATATCCGAGTTATACCCTAACGAAAATACAAAATATCGAGGAGGCGGTGCCCATATAAATTTAACCATGACACTTAATTCTTCCGGAAGCAACGATGATTGTAATAAAGAAGAATTTCGTCAAAATGAAATCAAACATGGTACAACACATTTATTAAGGGATCGCAATATGAAAACAAATTTTTTAACTGAAAAATGTGACAAAACTGTCAAAAGTCCTCAGATAATATCTCAAATTAATCATAATAATAACATAATAAATGCATATCCCAATTATTACGCTAAATCTTCCTTACTTTTGATGCCCGAAAATACCGATTCCGCCACGAATAGTCTACAACAAGCTAAATTAACAGTTTTAAGAAATGATAATGCTTTACAAAACCACAATCACATTAATAAAAATTTAGTAGCTAATGGATTTTTGGTATAATTCCCCCACCAAAACCACAATTTAAAGCGAAGCAGGATATTTTTTTGTTACAAAGTCAAATTATCTATTAAATTCCCAGAAAGTAGGAAACTTTAGAGACTATCCGCGGTTCGAAAAAATTTTCCGCGGTTCGAAAAAATTTTCCGGTGCTTAACAAAAAATTATTCATATACGTAATTTATCAATTCCTTTCAGATCCCTACTTGTCATTAAGGTTTCCTAATTTTAACAATTGGCCTATAAATTATTTTGATACTAAATTCCACCTTTTATGTTCTTTAGATCTCACCCTCTGTCGTCATTTAGGGATTCATTTAAAAGTATAAGAAAACCGTTTATACATTTATTTTTCATGCATTTAACATTGATAATAGAGCTTTATATTATAAAAAAATATATTAAAAAATTTGTAATATATGATTTGTATTATGATCATTTTTTAACCAAAATTTAAATTAAAAATTCTTAGAGTAATTATTTTGCAAAATATTAATATTAACACTTGAGTACATAAATAAATTGTGGGAATACAAAGAAAATAAATTGTATTTAAAACTTTATTTTTAGTCAACTTGAAATTTATTGATAAAGAAAAATGTTAGATTGCAATATTTTCTATCATAAAATTTAATATTTAAAGATTATTTTGGATATAAATAAAATAGGATTATGAGAAAACAAGTGATAAATGTAGATAGATATATTCAGGCCCGTGCCGTCTGCATAGACACTTGGGGCACCTGCCCAGCTGTCTAAATTTGAGGATTTTAAGGGCCGTCAAATATTGTTTCTTGATTGATTTTATTTAAAAAAAAATAATATTTTCAAATAAATTAACCTTAACTAAAATAGTCTAAGGGGTTATATTTGGCAGATACCCAAATAAGTAAAACAAATTAGATATTTTATTAGTTTTAAGTCAGTTTTTTGAAATCGTTTAGGAGGCATTCTTTGGATTAGGGTTAGTTTTCCTTTAAGATAAAAATATGTTTACACCATAGTCTTCATTTAATATATAAACTTATGGGTGGATATATTTTAAATTTCTCTCATCTAAATTGAGTTATTTTAATTCAAATTCTTAAAAAATGACAAATTAGATTATAAAAAAATACTGTTTTAATGAACTGAATTGTCAGAACGTGCCATATAATATTTCATTTCATAGACTATAAAGAGTTTGAGAAATGGTAAGAGGAAACAAATTTGATTCAGGTACTGAGAAGCGAAAAAGAAAAAGCGAGAAACTGAATTTATTAATTCTCAAAGAGGGTCTCTTTTAAAACACTTTAAGTAATCGATAATTAACACAGATATGATAGAATTTGTTACTGCTCACTCGATCAAGTGAAGATTTCTCTTTTAAAGAACGCTTTCAGCAATTAAAACTTTTCAGGGATCATTTTGGGTCTTTATTGTTATACCTGTATTGGTAAATGCAGTGAAACAGAGCTGAAAGATTAATTAAATATTTTATTAACGGATCATGCCGACTCGTAAACCTATCTTTAATATCAATAGAAAATAACATTGCATCATTGCTAGATTGTACTGAGATAATATCCTCTTTTGCAAATAAAAAGGCGAGGGGAATAAATGTTATACGATTACTATTTTTTTAGTTTTTAATGATTATATGATATTGTGACTATGTACACGGTATATGCACTATATTAATTTTTTTAATGTGCGTTACTCATATTTATAATTAAAATTAAATGAATTTTACTATATTAAATGATTTGGTTTTTGTCAGAATACGAAAAACTTAGATAAATTGGCGTTTTTAAAAGGCCTCCGAATTGGTTTTTGCCCTGGGCCGCTAAAAGTTTCGGCACGGTGCTAAGTATATTAATGCTGAAATGATAGCAATCGGTATTGATACCGAAAATGTCTCATAATAGTGAACTAATTAATTTAAGCTCTTTGTAATAAGCTAGCCTTAATATCATTTTCATGAGTTAGATTTTTCCACAATGTTGGAAAAAAATATAGTTCTGCATTTTTATTAAATTAAATTTGTAAAGGAAACCAAAATATTTTGATTATAAGTTGTTCAAATATTCCTATTGATTGAATTGCAATATCATAGAGGCGATATAATAGTCATTTCTTTTACTCATCCTCACATTCATAATTTAATTGTTTTTTTTATCTAGCTTTTTTTTGTAGAAGTTTCAAATATTGAATTTCCTTTATTTCTATTTCTCCTGCTAAATTTTAACCTGATATTGATTATAGGCGTCCTACTCCTTAATCTCATAGGTGTAAAAAGGAGGGGGAAACCCCATCTTATTGAGAAATATAAGAATAATGCCTGACAACTTTAGATCATCGTCTCTAGATAAGCAATTTTAAAAAAATGTAAGGGTTAAGTACTTCATTACATAATTTAATTGTGATAAAATAGAAGAAAAATTGCAATAAATATAATGAAGCTTATTGGATGGAAAATTGATAATTAATTCTTATGTACAATCAATTTTGTTATATTTTTTTAAATTAGGGAAGGGGGAAATGAGAAAATCTTTTTTTCGATCTATTTTAGAAAAATACTCCTTAAAGAGGTCTAATTTCAATCTATTTTTAAGCTTTATTATATGTTTTAAAAGTAGCTTTGAAAGCAGAATTTATCGCACCACCTTTTTTGCTTCATTAGGAAAAGAATGATAAGCTTAAGATGAAAAATCCTATGAGATTGGGAAACAGGGATTTCTGGATCTCTATCTGCAATATTTGTCGAGGGATTATCACCATATTTTTTTGTGAGTCTGAGTAGCATAAATTATAAGTATGTAAATAATTTAATAACAATTAATTTAAATATATAATTTTGAAATATAACTATAATTTCATAATTAAAATTTTTTATAAACATTTTTGGCCTTTTCACGTTTAATTGGAAAAGAAAGTAAAAATTGAAAAAGATATCAATACAGGTGTTAATCAACAAGCATATTTCTAAATGAAGAAATTGTATTATAAAATAAATTTTCTATAGATAAACTTAAACCTGTTCTGGTTTTAAGAATTCCGCGAAATGTAAAGGTTATATTTCCACCAAATTTAATTAAGAAATAGGATATTGAAATATCTTAGAAAATTTGACAATATTATAAGATGATATGATAAATTATGAGATATTGTTAAATCAAATCAAAAATTAACATCAAATCTAAGTTTGTAACCAGAAACCAATCAAATAAGCGAAACCTGAAACTCCTGAAGATTTAAAAGCCAAAATATATTTTAAAATTTTAGAAACCTGCTCAAACAAAATTGTAAGCTATTTATACTTTTAGCTATGTAGTATCTTTTCAAACGAATCAATTTTAACCTGATTTTAAGATGTCACTCACTACATGTTTTAAAAAGGACATAGTGTAGCTAAAAAAGCGATATGTTGTCTAAATTATGAGATTTATTTTATAGAGTTTATTTGTTTAATTTTAAAATTACTTTAAAAATTTGAAACCCTGTAAACTGTCTTTAAGAACCAGAACCCACAACCAACTGAAATTTCTAGGATCCAGAACCTCTTTTTTAAAAATATTCTGAACGCAAGGTTCCAAACTTTGGCTTTTTTATATTTTGATCATTGGTGATATAATAGTTATAAAATATTTTTTGGAAAAGGTTAATTTTTATAAAATAACAATTACTTTGAGTTAATCATACAAATATAATGCCTGCAGAATTGGGTGTATTTTCAAAATTATGTTTTTGCCCATCCCTGCAGATTAGCAATAAATAGATAGGAGACAATAACATTTGAAAAAATTAACCTGAAAATGAAATTTATTTACAAATACATATAGATATATTATTATTATTTATATTACATCTAAAAATAAAATTTTAGTAAAATATCAAGGTTTAAAGATTATATAATATAATTATCAGAGTTTGATAGAATTCTCCCGTACTTCATCATAAATAAAAAATTAAGGTCCTGGTGGGGAGGGGCACACCTATTTAAAATGACATTTTGATCTTATTTATATTATCAGATTTTAACGAGCCAACTACTAGATCGTCATTCTTAAAATAGGATACATGAATAAGCAGTCTAGAATATAAATTAGGCATCATGTATATGATAAAAGTGTAATGAATGACTGAATTGGCTCCTATAAGCATAATTTATGTACTTTTTACACTTTTTTGAATTACAACTCACTTAAAACGCAAAACAATTTAGCAACGTTTACGTTGGGTGGGGGTAAAAAATTTGATGGGGTGGTACACTAAATCTTACTAATTAAGATTTTTGGAATAAAACGGGGATGTAATATTGTCATTTTATCGTAAAATTATATACTGGTAATTCACCCACTAACTCTATTATTCGCAAATTTGATTTGCTTCTACGTACGGATAGAGTTTAATTACTAAATATTCGGCTGCTTATATTTTATCGGCCAAACTTAAAGAGAAATTCTACTTTTCACCACCTTACTTATGTATGATTCTCATATAATTTCTTATCAAAAGGACATTCAGCATGGCGTTTCTCTCAATCTTTTATTATTTTGCGCGAATACATAGGATATCATTAGTCCTTTGGATGAAATGTTTGATTTGGATTTAAAATAATATTTAAATAATTATACCTATGACTTGTCTAAAAATATGTTTGCAGAATTGAAATATATCGAGGACAAGTGTGGAAAAATTGGCTAAACTTTAAAGAAATTAAAAATAAAATTTTATTTATAAACTACACTCCCTTTATTATATTTCTGACTTCAAACTTACTTAATTCCCGTTTATAGTTCTGTGCTAGGAAATATATTATGATTTCATATTTAAGAGATATATAAATAATTACCCAAAATTCTTGAACACTAGAGTTTTTTCATTTATTTCCTAAAATACTACATATTTTTCATATAAAAATTTAATAGACTCATGACCTACCGCCCTCTTATATCAAAATTATGTAAATATGATTTACCTTAAACTTGAAAAAGTTAGTTGGACATTTATTAACTTCACAGTAAAACCATTGATGCTTTTATTTCTTCCTTTATTAGCTGATAACTTACTTTAACTTCCAATCAATTACACGAGAATTTTGTATACACAGAATGCACTTCCCTGATAATACCACTTAAAAATTTTATCCCACTTCTAAAGGCCATTTTTAGATTTTATATAAAATTTTTAAAATTTACTTTGGATTTAAAATAAATAGAAAGTATGAATCTTTCTTTTTTTTCTTTTAATTTCTTCCCCTAAAAGGTAGACACTAAGAAGTAAGGCCTTTATTTACTGAGAGGCATCGAA